AAAGAAAAAAAGTATGAGAATGAGAGAGAAAGAAAAATCCATCCTCTTCTTCCAGTCACACAACAACATCCGTTGCAGCAACAGTTGTGTCGTCGATCATCATACTACTTCATCGTCGTCTTCTACTGAGTTGCACAAATGAATGTGTTTAGACTGACTTTGTTCTCTTCTGTTTGTCTCACTGGCTTCTTCTGCTCGTTTCTCGATTTTTTTTACTACATCGCAGTACTGGAAGAAAAAAGACCTTGCTTGTTGTCACTCACTCATTCATGTATTCACTTATTTGACCTTAGCTGAAACAACATATAGAGAAATGAGAAGAGCAAAATAACATTTTCTAATATTAAACTAAAATATGATTATTTATAATAGGGTAAGAGATTTCCTTGTTATTTGTTATTGAAAAACGTAAATCAATCGATTCATCATTATCATCATCTATTGATAGAATTCATTTCGTAACTAGTACAAGTGGTATTATTCTCATTTTTCTTTTGTTGTTTATCTCTATAATATGACACATTTTATGCTGTAATTCTTTAGTCATATATCACCTGCGCATATACGTGAAAAAATGTATATGAAAGTTATGTAGTCATTAGTTAAAGAGATAAAGAGAAGAAAGAAATTTTTGGAAGAGAATAAAAATATGTATATATATACATATTAATAGTCTGCATTTTTTTCATGTATCTTTCTCTATTTACTTGCGCAAACTATATCAACAGTTGTAGAGTGAGAGAATGGAGCAAGAAACACCGGATGTTACTATGACGTCATCGATATCAGCCGAGGACGGACATAATACTATTGACCTCGAATACAGGATGGATGCTAGAGAAAGAAAAAAAGACAGAAAGAAAGAAACTGGGGAAAGAAAAGCAAAAAGAAAACCAGAGAAGTTCACTAAAAGATAACAGAAAGATGCGTACTACAACGTTGTATTAGGCTGATGGCTGTGCCTTCGATCTCATGGGCTGAATTGATCATATGACATGCGTATACTATTACACACATCCTTCGCTTTCCCTCTCTCTCTCTCTGGTTACTCGTCACTCTTCTTCTTCTTGCACGTTTGCCAGTATATGAGAATGCAGTCTTGATATAATTGTATTCTTTTCTTTTCCATTATTTTGTATCATACTCCATTCTCTCATGATTGTCTTGTTAAGGGCATTATCGTTTTTATTTGAGTAGAGTATGGTGTATCATTGTCGTCATGTTAATCTTCCATGTATATGCATTATCTTGTTAGGAAGATCCTTGTTGTTATTGATGATGATGATGTTGTCTTTCTTTTTCTTAACTGTTTACAAGCTTTGGTTTTTAAATTATGAGTATTATTATAAGAGTGAAGTGTTTTATAAGTAGGTGTGTTATATTTACATTTATATGCTTATATTTATAATTTCGTTTTTCTTTCTTTTTTCTTTTTTTCATATCCATTTCGTTTTTTCTTTCTCATTTTTTCTATAACCTTCTATGTTAATCAAATGAGCCTTCTCTTCTCATATACAGAAACATCAGGTGGGTATTCATGTTCTCTATATGTGTTCGTCTGCAATTAGTAAATATTGTTTTATCGATCATAATCAAATCACCTGTTTTCTTTCTTTTTTGTATATAGATGAATAAAGGTGATTATTAAAGGTCATAAACAACATAGAGTATCTGAACGACGATGGTAGCCAGCGATTGTTACGGTATATTAGGCGTTAAACCAACAGCGACAGGAGATGAAATTAAAAAAGCCTATCGAAAGAAAGCTCTTCAATATCATCCTGATAAAAATCCATCTGTAACAGCTGAAGAAACATTTAAAGAAATTAATAAAGCATATGAAACCTTGAGTGATGTAGATAAACGTCGAACGTATGATTTACAACAACAAAAACCTTACACTACAACAACAAATAAATCTTCCACACAACAAAATAAACAAGAAACATCATTTAAGACATCATTTCATTCACCCGGTCAACCACATTTCACATTTAATTCAACAACAACGAAAAATAATGGTTCAACATCATCACGTCCTGGACATTTTCGTTTTCATCGTACCGGTCAAGATCCATTTACAACTTTTCGACAACGACATTCAAATTTTCCTAATTCATTTTTTGATTCATTTGGTTCAGCAGAATCACCTTTTTTTGATTCAACAAATAGTCATATTTCATCTGATAATGATGACGATGATGATGGAATTGATGATGATGGAGCAGAACATGGTCGAAAAAATTCAACATTCGGTAATTCAAAAGTCCTTCAATTGATTTTAATACGATTTGCTTTTTGTTAAGGATCAGATGATTTTGATTTTGATCATTCACCACGTCATCCTAGTCAAACACGTTTTACAACACAAGCTCGACCAAAATGGAATAATAATTGGGCATGTGATAGTGAAGAAGATACTAAACCATCAACATCAACTGATAATCAATTTCCATCAATGTTTCAACAACGATCAACTGTAGATAATCCATTTATGATGTTTGAAATGTTAACACGTGCTGTATTTGATAAATTTTTTAATGATGAATTTTTTTGGAACAATTTAAATTCAACAAATCCAAATTCTCAAAATTTACATTTTCCAAATTTAAATCAACAACAAACTCCACGTTCAACAGGAACACGTTTACGTAGTGCTTCACAACAACGACCATCAGCATCAACAACAAATCGTACACGAATACATGTTAATCATGTACCATCATCAAAGAAAAAAGAAAATGATATGCAATTTGAATGGTTAGGACATCATCCAAGACAAAAACGAACAACATCATCAACACGTTTTGATCATAAAGATAGTGATGAGGAAAATATGGAAGAAAATTATGTTTATCAACAAACAAAACCAACAACAGTAAATGCTCATCGTTTAAGAAGACGTATGAATAATAATAATAATAACACTGAACAAAAATCTTGTTCATGTCAATATTGTTTTCAACCGATGAAATCAAGTGAAGATCGTTTACAACATGAAAATACATGTCGACAACGTCCAACTAAAACAACAACAACAGCCAGTCAACGTCATAAATCTCAACAACCAACAAGTACACATGATGATAAATTATTTTCATCAAAATGTTCCTATTGTCATCAAGAAATTCGTTTAACTGATCGTATTGATCATGAAGCACTTTGTAAACAATTTGGAACAAAACGACATACAACAACGAATAGTAGTACAAAACGTTTTAATAATTCAATGTCCGGTAGTCTTAATGATAATAATAATAATACTACTACTAATAATCCATCATCTTCCAAATTATCGGCCGGTAATAAAACGAAACAATCTAGTGCCGATACTACTATCAACTAGCTGCCTGATATCCTTCTCTTTTGCTTTTTCATATACTACTTAGACTGCTATTTAGTTTCTGCTCAAGCATGAACAACATAAAAAACTATTTTTTACTTTGTTTTGCTTTTTTTTTACTCAGTTTTACATGCTCATTGATACATCATAATAATTATATATCCATGCATGTTTTATAAACACACATATATATATGCGCTATGATATTGTATCCCTCTCACTTTGTAGAACATAGAAAACGGTAAGTTGCATGCACGTCGTAGTATAGACCCATTAGATCTAACAAATCTTGTATATCGATAAAATACTATGCTGATAAATGATATATTTTGCAGATTCCTTTTTTTTTCTTTTATGTAGATAATTATATTTAATTTTTATTCCTATAGGAAATCTATCAAGTGGTATTGAACAATTACGTACATGCAATCGTTGTCATCGAATATTTCCTGTTTTGTCCGATTTATTTAATCATATGTGTGATGATGAAGATGAGTTATTTCAAACAAATCCAACTATATCGTCATCATCAAACAAACGTACCAGTGATAATTTATTTCATAAAAATAATAATAATAATAATATTAAATCAGGATTAGATAGTAGTTCTTTATTTGATAAAAAATCTTCATTTAATCAGGGAGTATCATCTACAAGACCTCTCAAGCTCAATCGTCGTTCATCATTTAATGATTCATCAGTATCTTCATTACGTTCAAAAAAATTATTTTCTCCTATTTCACCTCCATCATCACCATTAATAAGACAACAACATACAAATTCAACATCAATACATATACCACCAGTAAATAATCATTCAAATAATTATAAATCAACATCGCACATTCCTTTTACGAAACGACCTCTATTTCGACCAGATACAAATAATATAACACATATATCAACACCACCTTCATCACAATTATTATTTAATGATAAACCACAACATGCATCAAGTACATATGTTTATTTGAGAAATCCCACATCACCTGTGCGTGTCAACTCTTAAAACTGAATGAAAAATTAAATGAAATTTTCTGTGTGTATTTTGTGTGTTTAGAATAGACACGTAATAAGTATTATAATAAGAAAATAGTTCGTTCTGCATAATGCATTGTATACGAACATATAATTATCAATTTATTCTATTCAAAAGAAAATATGCAAAATATGATCAAGTTAACCACAACAGTCTAATAGATTTTGCTTTACATCTTATATTGATACCAAACACTTTCCTTTCGTAATATCTCTTAATTGATTGCAGACCTTCAACTACAAAGGTTATAGATATATATATATATATCGTACAATTTTTTACTAAGAAGAGACTGCTGTGAAAAGATTCATAACGAAACCATTGATTTCGTTTTTTTTGCTTCATTACATAAAAAGCAAAATATTTTGTTTCGTCTAGAATAAAACAACGATCGTATCTTTTTTCTTATGTCTTGTCAAAAAAAGATCATTCATATTGACTAACGTCTCATTAAGATCAATTATTAAACTATGCACCTTATTACATATTGAGAATGATCTTGACATCTACTTGTATATATAAGTATACAAAAAACAAATATTATCATTCATTGACTTTCCTTTCCCTTTAAAATGCAAGACAGTCAAGGACAACTATAAATAACATTTATCGTTTCTTTTTTTTTCTTCTCGTGTGAAGTGCAAAAATATTTGAATATATATTTTATTTTTAATCTGATACATTAAATATTAATTTAGTCCTTGCCAACAAGGTTCTTCTCTTTTCTATTAGACAGAATGTTGAGAATTGTAATTGTATTTTAATAGGATATTAATGCATTTTAGACATTGTACTGAATCAAGGTTAGTCATATGATATGAGTCAAGTATACTCTACTATATAAAAAAAAATAACAAGTTATTCTCAGAAGATGATAGACAGAAAATGATACTTAAGTCAACAGATAATATTTATATGGTTACTTTTCGTCTCGGAATATTTGTATTAATATGAAAAAATACATTTATTAGATTTCCAATGTCAATCAACAATAATAATACAAACATATATATATAATCAATCGAAAATTTAAAAAAATAAATATATATATCACCACTTATGATATAATTTAACCTCTTCCGGTTGTCTAGGAGGGTTACGATATTTTGTAGAATAGCCGATAAGAAAAAAGGTCAAAATAATTATTTTTACATTAATATTTGTATTCGTTCTTGTTCATTAAGTATAGCAAGCTAAATAAAATAAAAATAAAAAAATAAGAACGATATATATTTAATAGTCATATACTTCAGCATTAACAACATCTAGGATAGACATCCATGCATCTTCATCACTTAGGTTTTCATCAGTCAAGCGCACATCGTTCATTTGTGATTTTGTTAATTGTGTTCTTGAATTATTTAAAATAGATTGATCCATTGAAGTATTATCTTCTATATAAATACAAAATAAAATATTTTTCAAAAATCAAAAGATTAATACCAGTCGTTGATTTTAATTGATTGAGTGATTTTTCAGATACAGATCCGGAAATAATAATTGTTGGAACTATTTTTCTAGTTGAAATATCATTGGGTGATTTGGAATTTTGTAGAAGATTTAAATCATAAATATTTTTACGATCAATAATTGTACCTTGACTAAAATCAAAGAAAAATAAATAAGTAAACGTAGATTTTAATAGAAGAAGACCTACTTGTAAAGCTCAAGTGACTTTGTATTCATACCATTTTCATTAATATGAGCAGCATTTATAGTAAAATCTTTGTGTATCCAAGAAATACCTGTATTATTACGATGTTTAGGTTGTACGATTGTTGATGCTTTTTGAAAGGCTCGTCCTTGAGGGATTTCACTTTAAATTTTAAAAACAACAATCAGATAGAATAATAAATAATTCAAATTATTTCTTTTACGTTTTTTGCTTTAAGATTTCATCATCATAAAGATTTACACGTGATAAAGCAATTTGTTTTGAATGTGTATAACGACGATAAAAATATCCAAAGAAGATAATTAAAAGTAAAACAAAGAAAACACCTATGAACTAATAATTAATTTAATTGATATTTTATTTTCGCGAAAACTTACTTAAGGCACAAACAAGACCTAATTGCCAAGCATTTAAACCTGATACTATCGGTGGTGTTTGTAATTGAGTAGTATTCATTCTAGTTGAACTTAAATTTTTACAAAAATAAATAAATTTAGTTTCTTTTTATTTAAAAACCTGCAAATAAAATTCCATTGATTTGAAAGTATTGTACATATTGGATTCGTTGAATTTGTTTGGCAAAGTGGGTCATTTGCAGCATCAGCACTTGAACATGCGTCTGATATTGCGTCTAAAAGACAAATACAATGTTTTTCTCTTCCTTGAATCTGTTTAGAAAAAACAAATTTCCGACAAATTATATTTGTGACTTGAAGCAGAGCTTCTAGTAATAATTTTGTTCTTATTATGAATTAAAAACATGTAAACAAAGTAAATAATTATCTCATTTCATAGAACGAACTATGTGTTTTTCATAAAAATTTAAAGAACTGTAAGACATCTTATCTTGTAACTCTATAAATTTGATTGCCTGTTGTAAGATAAAGTATTTTTAATCTTTTTAGTTGCCATGTTAGAAATAAAGAAGAACTAGTAAGATAGATGACAAGATGACTACTGTTTATAGGTGATTTGATCTAAGCTGAAACCTTTTTTGGATACTTTCGAACTCTACTTCTATTTCACTTGTTGATTAATAGATAAAGAGCTCATTGACCTTCGACAGTGTCCTACCTTGTAAGGCTTTCGCTCAATTTATCTTAACTATCCACATGTCCTTTTGGTTAACGGAATTTAAACATCATTAGTCTTTATAGAACATTATACGTAGGGATGCGCAGTTTCAGTGCAAATACTGAAAAAATGTCACTTTCAGCTCTGACACTGGGTTCACTGATGCTTTAGATTCACCTGACAGGTTCAATATTCGTCGGTATCCTGGCGATTCCACTGCATCAATGAGCCCGGTGTCAGTGCTACGGTGCGTCACTATCGGTGCTGACAGTGCACGGTTTACTGAAACTGTGCATCTCTAATTATATGTGATCTCTAATCTGCATTAATATTTTCTTTTCTCGACAAAAATTTATTATTTATATAATAATTTCTACGTACTATTATTTGTAGTAATTGAGGAAAGATTAAAATATGTCGATTGATTAATTTTAAAACCATTCAATTGATAATTATTCGCATTTAGATAATCGGAATATATTGAAGCTAAAAAGGGAAATTTTAAAAAAAAGATATTTTTTTTATTAAATAAATTTTACCAAATAAAATTTGTATTCGAATTGAAACTGCATGAGTAAAAGTTATAATATGTTTAAAATAATTTTCTGTTTCATTTGTACAACTAAAATAAATAAAAAAAATACTTTTTTTAAAAATAAAATCAATAATTTACTTGAAATTAATAATCGAGACATTAAAAAATACATCTGATGTCAGATTATTTCGATATAAACTGTAAAGCTGCAAAGCAAATAGAAAAAGAAGATTATAATTGTATTATTCATTAAATTAACATACATCATATAGAGTTCGAGTCAAATTCAATGTTGAATTATCACAGGATGATAACCGGTTTGTAACTAAAAAAAGAAATACAGAAAATTATATTCTATGAATAACGGAAAAGACGACAAGGTGAGTTCATTTGAAATAATTATAAATATAGGTTTATATTTTTACAGAACAATGATTATTTTAAGATAAATTATAATGTGTAAAAAATTTATTTATAGAATATTAAACTACACGCTATCTTTGAAAAATTTTATTTTATCTATTTTTAAGTTTTGCCCTTATTATTTTCATATGAATCATACCTGTTATATTGTTTGCATCGGGCAACACATTAGTAACCATTTTTGCTAATATAATATTGCACGTTTTGTTTTCCAGTTAAGAATTTTTCTTTCTAAAAATCAATTGTTACTGATTAACGATGCTTTAATATAATGCACATGAAGAATACATCATTAGTTCCATTAAATCTCTAGCTATATGATAATACGTTCAATGTCTTATATATATATATACTAAGCCTTTATATAGAATTATGCAGACAGAATTAAGTAGAAGAATGAATGAAGAAAAGAAAAAGGGAAAATATTCTTTACATTATTTTTTGTAAAACTTCAAAAAGACTTATTTTTTTCTTCTTTTTTTCTTCGCTTCGAGCTCCTTTTTATGCAATTCCATTCTCCGTCATAATAATGTTTTACAAAGACAGAATAAAAAAGTGTCTGCTCATCCAGTCATAATAGAAGATAATTTCCATCAATCTTTTTCTTCTGTCTTAAATATATGTTCATGTTGTTGCGTATTTATATGTAATAGGAAAATAACTTCATTTTTGTTTTCTCAATTTAAAAACATCGGTAAACTGATATATTTTCAACAAATAATACTCCCGCATATGACTATATACGTTTGCAAAACAACAATTAAAATAGTTTTTTCTTTAAATAAATAAATAGACGTATTTTATAAAGAAAAACGTCAGCAATAATAAATAAACTAATGTGATGTCTATTATTGAATTCTGAGAAGTGAAATGAAAGATTCTCGACTTTGTTAGGTACTTAAAAAATAGTAGGAGAAATTAGTTCGTAAAGGACAATTTTTTAATTTGATAATTAAACAAAAACAATCGTATTTTACTGAGAACTATCAGAACATGTCTTATTTTGTCAGTTTATGAATGTTTTTTAAATTATATATTGACGTCATTCATGGTCAAATGGTATATGACTTACTTATACTCAATAGAAAAATCTCATAATTCCTATTTGTTGTCTGAAGAAATATTATTGACTTTTCAAATCATCTCGTTTTATTTTATATACCCACTCTAATATCAAATGAACTGACTGAATTAGAACCAGATAATAATTATAAATTTAACACTTCGATACTCTTCTTATTAATTATAATAGATAATCTTAGAAATAAGTAATATCTCTTCTAATTACATGTTATTTTTGAAATATAAACTACCATGTATGTAGTTCTAAGCATTTATAACACTATCCCTTAATACACATACTAAGCAGCTGAATTAAAACCCTATAAAAAATTTATACTATCTAAAAACTAAGTTAATAATCTACAAACTTTTTCTGTAAAGAATGTCAATCTAATACATCGTTTTAATTAATTTAAGACATAAACACATGACATATTTTAAGTAAAAAATGTAGAGCAAATTTAATTGATTTAAAATGGAAATGAGTAGAAAGTTTAGCTAATTGTAGGATTCAATCTCACATATAAAACTTACATATATATGATAATATTTGACTTGTAAAGGAAAAAAAACTCATGAATTGTAAACATTAACAGGCAAAGAACAAAGAAAATAGAATGACAAGAAATCGACGGAAGACGTTAAAAAGAAAAATTACGATGGATAAAATGTTTTCTTACTACTTCTTTCATTTTTGTTAGCAACAGTCTGGCTGCACCGTATCTATCGTTACCATGATTACTAAGTTCTTAAGGATCATTACTCAATCGTTGTTATAATTTAACAATTTTTTTTATTAATATACCAAATCAAAGATATATTTTTCTACTAGATAATATGATCAAACTAAATAATTGTAGACTTACATGTATCTTGCTTGTTAGTTATATTTCGTATGCGTATAAGAGACGAGAAAAATTAGATTACATATACAATAACGTTCAGATATAATATAGAAAAATATTTATGAAGATAGATCATAAAAAAAATTGTATATGTCATTGTTGTAAACATTAGAGCTGAAATGTGATTAATCAAAAATATTAATTTGATCGTTACTATTAATATGAATAAGTTCAAAACACTACACATTCTAGTTGAATTCTATGATAAAATATGCTTTTGTTGAATAATAATTCTATCAAGATCATTAATTAAATTTTTTTGTATCAACATTTATTTTTCTGAATAAATAATTATTTTTTAACAAAAACAGAAACAACAAAAAAAAGTGTTTATATTTCTAAAGTGATATTTCATCTTCTCGTGTTCGTCGACTACAAATACTTGAACGTGTTTTAAAACTTGATCTATGACTATATGAACTAATAAGTCCACTTGTACTTCTATCACTTGGTTGATGCATATCAATTGGTAAATCAAATTCATTTTTTTGTAAATGTTTATATAATCCTTCAAATGGTACACTTTCTTGTGAATGACTTGTATGAATTGGACGTTGTCCAATATCATTATTATTATTATTATATGAAGTTATTGTCATTCGTTGATCCATAATAATATGACTACGTTGATATCTTAATAAATATTTTAATGCACATCGAAAACGATAATTTGTACAAATAAATACTAAACATTTATAAGAATAAAGTGATAATTCAAATGCTAAACCAATTGTTTGCATATGTGCATGTGCTTTAACTAAAAGATTATTTGATGATGAATATTCTTCAATATAATTTGATGCAAATAAAACAATTAAACGTAATAATTTACATGGAATTGATAAAAATACAAAGACAATACCAAGTGTAAATGCAGCATTATATGTTCGTAAATATTCAACAATTGGAGAATCATATCGAAGTGAGATATTTTCTGTTTCAGAATGATGAAAATGTAATTCATTCCATAATTGTGCACCTTTACGAAATAATAATATTGATAAAACACATATGATTACTGTTGCTAATATAAGACCAAGACCAGTATAGAAAAAAACATTAACTATAACACTTGTTGAATGCATTGATGCTTGTAAATCAACCATTTCAGCATTCATCAAACAATGACGATGAAATGTAACATTTGTTGTTGAATTATGTGCAAAAATAAGTGGTTCATTATAAGACATTGATTCAATTGATGGAACATTGAAAAGAATAAATATGAATAATAAAACAAAACTAAATTTTAATACAAACACAAAAAAAATATATATCAATATATCAAAATTACATTTATTCAATTATGATAATGAATGATAAATTTTCTAAATCAATATTCATACTATTCTTTTATTAATATGCAATCACGATAAACGTAAATGAACATTATAAATATTTTATATGATTATTGCTTTTCTTTAATCGTAAATCTTTTCAGAATGATCGAGAAAAAAAACAATAGAGACAATCATATGGAAATTTCAAATATTGAAACTACAAGAATTTTTAGTTTAGTAAGTTTAAGAATATTAAAATAATAAGATCATATTAATACTTCAGTTTTTAGAATTTAAATAATTTATTATAGAACAAGCAGCGTATTAGACTCTTTCGGATAAGATATATAAGTATTTAGAAACACTTTATACTTGTTGAAGCATATATAATAAGCTTCAGAAATAGTTCGATCGAAGAAAAAAAATATTCTATTTACTTACACTGCATATTTAGCATTGACAATAGCAATAAGCCGATAAAATTTCGAATAAACAAGAAATAATCGATTAAGAAGCAGCAAAACAATTAACCAATGTGACATAAGTGTTGAAATTCGTACAATATAAGTTAATAATTTACAACAAACAGTTGAAATATTGATTAAACCAGTCATTACATCAGTATCATTATCTGGTAATGCTTTATAACGTATAATTGAATTCATTAAATGATATGTAAGGACAATTAAATCAAAACAAGTAATTTCAATGAGAAAATTTTCAAATGTACGTTTTTCTCCACCGGGTGTATGTCGTAAAATATATCCATTACCAATTAACATAATACCATTTCCAAATAAACCAATCATAAAAAAAAATATTGTTATTAAAAGTGAACGATATTCAGTTAAATGAATATTTTCATCGGAACCAAATGGTGCATGATCATCATGATCAAAAGTCCAACTGTCAGACATTATAATAGACGACAAAAAGAAAAAATGAATGATTATTTTGATGTATAATTTAAAGAAAAAAGAAAAGATCTACCACACGGAAAAGTGATTGTTAGTCGTATATATGTGGCAGATTAGTAATTGCATTTAGTGTTGTTGTCGTTTCATTTGACATGCAACAAGAATCAATTCATCATTTCTCTCTTTCTCTCTATCCTCCTATGTGTCTTTGCCTTTTTTTTTCTTGTTTTTCCTATTCCTTGTTATTGTGAAGCTTATAGGAAAATAAATAGCTCACTGATTTAATTATTATAAGCGAACAAGCGATAAAAGCAAAAATTTTTGAATAAATGACCATATATAACTCGAAGACGATCTCGATTTTGATTGCAAATTCTTGTGCGTTTCTTCTTCTTTTTTTCTATTTCCTCTCTCTCTCTCCCTTTTCTTTGTACTATTCACAAGTTTAACATACATATAGAAACAAATAGTGTTGTTATTATTATTACTATCATCATCACTACTACTCTTACTATCACTTAATGATCATTGGGACTCAAAATTCTTTTTCGGGTCTTGTTTGTTTTAGCAATAGTTCGTGACCGGACGAATAGCAATAAAACACAATATCCGTTTAGTTGTTTTTTCATTCAAAAAAAGAATAATATATAGGAAAACTATTCAAAGTATGCTGATTTATTGATGAGTAGAGAATGTTCTTCTATTTTCTTGTCGATCTTTTTCATCTTGTCAATTGCCAATTGATTCATTCACATAACACACACATACATATATATATAAACACATACACATGAGCATATTTTTTTTTTGTTTTATTTGCGATGACTATCACTGTCAAAATATATCTGACTTTCAATTAGACATATCTCAGTTTGTCTACTACTTATTATGCTTATAAAACGGAAGAAAACAAGAAAATCATATCTGATGTATGTTGTGTCTTGATTACCAAGTATAAGACAGCATTCTATGAATAAATAATAAGATATAGATAATACTTTTTCTTTTTTTTTATTGTCATGATGTGATTATTGTTGTCATATGAATACAAAAAAATATTTAGAAGCAAGAAAAAAATAGAAAAAAATATTATTAGATTACGCCTTTTAAACGAGTGGATAGCTGGCAGCTGTAGCAATACCACATTGGTTGCGTTTGTTTCGGGTCATTTTGATGTATCCTTGGTCTCCCCAACCTTCACCCCAGCTAGAATTAAGTAGAAGAAAGAATAATTAATACATTTCATTAACACAGAAATTTTCTTATAATAATTACCTGTTTTTGACGAGCCAGTAATCTTTGCCTGAATCAGCACCATAACCAACAGCGAGAACACCATGGTCAAGTCGTGTTTGTGAGCATAAGATTTCGTTATAGACTAAAAATAATTATTTTTGAAATAAATCTTAATTTTTATATATAAAAATACATACCACCGTGTTTGTATAATTGAAATGAAGTGTGACCAGCATCAATAGCAACTGAAATTGGGCCAACAGTGGCAACAGCTTGTTGAAGAGCACTTTCATCTTTTGATGTGATATCGGTGAATCCAGTATCAGTGGCACCAACATTTTTGGCATCGAAATGACATGAATCATCAACGGCTTTGTATGGATATGAATCTTCGGTATCAATACCCATGTTTTCTTTGATGTATTCGAAAGCTTGATCCATTAAACCACCGTTGCAACCCATGTTTCCTTGTTTACCTGAACAATCAACTAAGTTTTGTTCGGAGAGTGAAACGAGTTTGCCAGTTGCTTTGAAGTGTTGACCTTCAAGTGAACCAGTTGATGAAAAAGCCCAACATGAACCGCATTGTCCTTGATCTTTAACACCAGTTACATAACCTTTGTCTCGCCAATCTAGAAGAAGAATATAATAGAAAATTTCATCTTGAAACTAATTATTTTAATACATACCAACGGTATCTGGTAAATCTGTGAGGCTTGGGTTGAATGTGAATGTATGACGATCTTGGCTACGTTGTCCTTTCATTGTAGCATTGTAACCGTTCATTACTTTAACGAATTCACTGATGGTCTATTTTTAATAGAAAAAAAAATAGCTTGTGTTAAGATATATATGATAATATAAAATAAAATTTTACCATATCAGCATATTTGTTCATTCCGAGCCAGTAGGTGTGTACACCAAGGTCAGCTTGAAGATTGTGTTGTTGAACTGTTTTCAAGTTACCTTCCCATGTAGCACGACTAAAATATGTATATAATAAATAATAATTTCAATATAAAACTATAATATAACAAATTCCTACCGAACGTGTTCTTCAGCATCGTTGTAACGTTTGTTGTTAGCCTCTTTCCATAATTTCCAATGTTGGTTAAGTGTAACATCGAGAGCCAATGTACAGCTAAAAGCAACAGCAAGTACGGCAAGAATCGAAATGGATTGCATCTATATCAACAACAACAAAAAAACAGTATTATGATAAAATACCTAGACATTACTTTATCTCATCTTTCACTTACCTTCGTTTTTTTTGTAAGAGAGTAAAAAAAGTGCGATTTAATTCTAATTTCACACAAGTTTTTATACCTCTGACTTTATCTTTGTTTGACACGTGTTTCGATATCATTATCTCTCATGATAAAGCGCATTTTCACTATAGTCTTGCATGGTCATCGCTTTACATTATTTTTTTTTAGATGCCCCATATTAATCTAACAAAAAAAAAAAAGAAAAATCTAGGACAAACAACAGTGAGATATGCGAAACACCATCATCAATATGAAGGCACATTTTGTTTTATTCGTACCCAAAAAAAGAAAGTAAAAAAAAGAGAAGAAGATTCTAGAACCACTCTGTTACAAACATAGATAATGCTTTCAAGATTCAAGATTTTCGAATGTATATGCATGCGTTGCTGAACCACCTTGTCCAGCACTACTTAAAGGTTCTAATGGTGATCGTTTTGATCCTCCATTATCTAACATTCGTTCCATTTGTCGAATTGTATGCTCATTTTTAATCATTTTATCTTGTAATTGATGTCTTTCATAACCCAAATTGGTCAGAACAGAATCTTTTTCAATTAATAATTCTTTAATTCGTTGATTTTCAGCAAGTGTATTTGCATGGTTTTTACGTAATTGTGTTAATTGATCAGTTAAACCCATTAAAGCATCTTGCATTTTCATTGCTTCTTCATTTTTCATAAAAGCATCAACAGATTTCAATTTTTCAAGTTCAAGTGCTAAACGTTTTTGTTTTGTATTTACCGAAACAAGTTGTTTAGCTAGAAGATCATTTTCTTTACGATAACCATTCTACAAAAGAAAAATAAATAAATATAAATCAAAAGATTTAAAATTTTTCTTTTCAACATACAACGTATTCAAGTAATTGTTTATTTTCACCATTCAAATGATCACATTGTTTACTCTGTGCATGTAATTGTTCCATTGATGTTTTATTTTGAACTTGAAGTTCTTTTAATTTTTGCATTAATAATACCATTTTATTTTTACTATCAGCTTCTAATGCATCACGTTCATTTTTAACTAATGTAAATCGTTCTTGTAACATAGCAGCATTTGCTTCTGAACTAAAATAATATTATATACATAAGAATAATATATATATATATATATTCTCTATCTCTCTATCGTTTATTCTTTTCTCACCGTCTTAAATCGACTTGTAAATTATTTGTACGACCGGTTAAAAATTCAATTTTTTCGTCAGCTGCCTTTTTGCCTTGTGTTAATTCATTAACTTTAGCAGTTAAACGTGCAACTTCTTTTTCTGATGAATCACGATTAAATACAGTTTTATTATATTCTTCTTTTAGAGATGATGCATCACGCATGGATTTTTCCAAATTTTGTTTTGCAATAAAATATTTTTCTTTTAATAATTCAAGTTCATTAATTAATACTTGATTTTGTCCTTTTAGATCTTCGTTATTACGTGTCAAAGTATCAATCATCATACGCATTTCACGATCTGCTGCTTTAAAACTAATTAAATAAAATAAATATTATAAAAAAAAAGAAAGAACCATATTGGAAGATTTTCGTTACCGTTCTTCCATACGACGATAATCTTCGACAAGTTTTTTCGTTATTTCATATTCACGTGCTAAACGTTCTAATTCAGTTTTTAATGATAGATTATCTTGTTCAAGTTTTTGATATTTCGTTCGAATTTCACCAAGACGATTACGTGCTAAGTACATTAGTTTGTCATGTTTATCTTGTAATTTCGTTAATTCATTTCCTAATGTACCATTTTCTTCCATTAAACGTTCATTTTGAAACCATAAATCATAGTTTTCGGCTTTGAGTTGTATTGCTTTCGATACAGGTTGTTTGCTCATAATATTAACTCCAGCATTTCGATTCATTACATCTTGAGGAGGTGCCTTAGGATTAGTCATACGATATTCAAGATCAGCAAATGTATCATCTCGTCCATCTATATTATGATGCTGCTGAGACGCCATGGGAATATAACCTAAACAAAATCACTCTTCACAAGAATTCAAGAGAATGAAAACTTATAAATGCATACACCTCTCCATGTGATATTTCTTTTCATGGTTAGAAAAATTCTAATAATTTTACAAAAATCATGAACAAAGAAAAAAACTAGGAAGATCCTCTCTCTAACATTTATTTAGACGAAAAAAAAATTCCTAAAACGAAATATTTAGTTTCTAATCATTTAATTCAACTACTTACGTGTTTTTCTCTTGAATTTTAGTTTGCACACACACAACACACCAATAACTAATTTAAAAAGCAAAATTCTCAATTTCTTTTCTCTTTTCTCTCCTACGTTCTCTCTCCCTTTCCTCTTTTTTTTTTGTTGAGTGTGGCGACGATAGTCAAAGAGTGAATTGCTGCTTAGTTGCTGCAAATATTCAAACAAATCTTTAAAAAAAAATGAAACGGGGTGACGAGAAAGAGAGAAAAATTGAAAGGATGTCGATGGTAGTCAAAAACAAAAAAGCAAAATACACAAATGCTAAAATGGTTGTTTTAAGTTAAGTGATATATTTCATCTTATGACATCAATAGGACAAATGATGAAGTTTCGAATGTGAGTTTATTTCTGATAAAATATTTAAACTAGAAAAACAGAAATTTGAGCCAAAATAAAAAGTTTTCAAGAATAAGAAAAATTATTCTTCAGGCAAAGCAATCTATATCGTACAATAAGAAAAATAGCGGAAGTTTATGACAAATGAACGTTTCATAAGAAGAAGAAGAAAAAATAACCGGATGTATTTATGAATTAAATGTCAAAGAATATCGGAGATTGTAAAAAAAAAGAAAAGTAACGATTTTTTTTAAAAATAGAATTTCTTTGAAAAACAATCAAGTAAAAATATTTCTTTTTCTTGATAAAACTACTACCATGAGTAAATAAGTTAAATCTTCATTTATTTTAATTATTAATATAAACAATTATTAAAATTTTAACTATAATATGCACATAAATCAAAACAATAGAAATAACCGTCACGTTTTAGATGTATAAAAAAAAAGTAGTTTAAAAGCTATTAATCAATTATATAATGTGTATAATGGGCTATAACCGATATTTTTTTATATGACAGAGAAAAGTGGCAATAGAAAGCTTTTCTTGTATAAAAGAAAAACATTTGATTCAATTAAAATATAGTAGATTACTTACCATTTGTTCATCCTTTTTTGTTATGCTATGTATTGTCAAACAAATCTACATGTTTTATTAACATTCGTTGCTATTATTTATACGGTATCATACTAAGAATGAATAAAATCATTTCTATTGTTTTTTTTGTTTACAATCTTATTTCATTTTTAAGCTTGAATTGATAATTTTAATCTATTCTATAATAATTATTCTAGGTTTTAAACTAAATGAAATTTTTCTTTAAAATATATCGTAGACAGAATAATTTATTAGATATGGAAAATGGCAGAACACCTTGACTTTGATATATGATTTCTTTTGTTTAATGACCTTCAAAAACAAAATCGATCGTATATCGCGAATTTCTTGACAAAAAAAATTGAAGGATAAGATGATTTGTGTGAATTATATGTAAACTCAGACAAAATGCTCCAAATATTTTAATTGATTAATCGTTGAACAATTGCTTAATTTAGTTTTGATTGCCAATTAAAATAAATATATTCGATAAAATATTTTAGTTTTTCATAAATTGAATGTTAATTCGATAGAGCTTTATTTAAAATGCTTTGATTCCTAACATCGAAGACAAGATAATGAATAGCTGATTGGTGAAAAATATATTGATATCCGTTTCGAATATTTTTATATTTTGAATAACATATGTATTTCATATGAGTAAAATCATGTAACCCCCTCCCCCCGCGTAATAACTATTATGATCCGTCGAAATTTTGCGAGAATTCCCGTCAAAATATACATAATTCCTGCAAAAAACATGCTCCGGGGGGTCTTGTAATTAGGGGGGATTTTATTATTCAATAGCTATAATATTATTCTTTTATATTGATAAATTCTTAAGATATAAAATGACCTAAAAATTCAAAAACACCATTTTAAAAATAATAAAATAAATCAATATTTTTTACTAAAAATGTATAATAATATATTCAGTTTTACTCATTTCAATTCACTGAATGTTTTCACAAAGGGTCATATAAAAACAATATTTTGTACTTTATGAAAAAGTTGTATGATTCAATAAAATACGTACATATTATATCTTTAAATTAAAAATCTATTCTATTCATAACTTAACATATGGATATATTCACACAGACATCAAACAACAAGCTTCAAAAATAATTATTCGAACATATGACTAAATCTCTATTGATATCACTATACCTTTTAAGAGAAATGATTTAATAATGATTAAGTTTATATTTATTGAATCTATATCGGTCATATTCTTTAAAGAAGAAGAAAGAAAAAAAGAAATTAAAATATATAAAAAGTTATGAAAAGAAAACAATCAGATCTGTGAATTAATATCAGTAGGTTTTTCATTATCATTTTTCTTAGTTGTTTCTTGCGTGTCACACACACGAATAAATTGTTTTGTTAATAATGTTTCATCAAGTTCTAACATTAACTGTGTAAATTGTATTAATTCAATTAATTTTTCATTTATATCTGGTATTGTTTGTAGATTATCAGATAATTCCATTAAATCTTTATCTGTAATATTTTTCGCAAATAATTTTTTTTGACCTGTTTGAAGAAGTGAATTAAAAAAATCTAATTTTTCTCCATTATCAAAACCATTTCCCGACCAAAACATTTCATCATTTGCATTTTGTTGATCGTTTATAATTTGTAATGCTTGATCACGTTGTTGTTCGATTTGATGAATAAAACGTTGAGCATAATTTTGTATACGTTCACGTATATTATTATATTCTTCAGATTTTTTATCCATTTCCAAACGTTTTTTATTTATTATTTCAATACGTGTTTCAAGAGTATTTAATTGTAATTTACTTTCACGGTGTACATCTAATAAATGTGATCGTCGACAATTTTCACAAAGCATAAATGAACAATGTTTACAAATTTTTAACATTTTAAGTAAACCACATGTGTGACATCGTGCACGATAAATTCCATTTGATTGAGTTTGTTGTTGTTGTTGATGTTGTTGATGTTGTTGGTCAGAATTATTTAATTTTGATGCATCTAATGCTTCACAAAGTTGCTTAAGTATAGGATTTATTATTAACATTGATTCAAAATGTTCGAATGAACGAAAATTTAATTGATATTTACAATACGGACAATGTATAAAATTTATTGATGTTGTAGAATTTATTGTTGTATTTTGAGCATAATCAAGTAAACATGAACGACAAAATGAATGTGCACATGGAAGACAACATGGTGATGTCATACGAGAAAGACATATACCACACATTAAAATTTCATTGAGTAAATCATCTTTAATTTTTGATGATGTTGATGATGTTGATGAACATTCGGATATGCTATCTGGACAATCTGAATGTGTATAATTGGAAGCCATGAGAAATTTATCTGAAAATATATGGGGAAGAAGAAAAAAACAGAGACGAACATTTATTATGCGGTAATTCTTCAAGCACACTTAAATAATCACCTTATAAGTAAAAGTATACAAAAACTACCTGTTTAAATATTTTTTTCTCAAGGAAATAACATTATTTTTGATTCACTACCTTCTTTACCCCTCCCACAACGTCTTTTCTTCTTCATATGAAATAAAAATGAATGAAAAAGAAGAAAAAAAAACAACAACACATAAGCATCCAATAGGCTTCTTATAATCATCATCATCACTCATATTATTACGATATACGATATTTAACATAATGTTAATTCGATGATGACAAGGAAGAAAAAAGAAATATATTCATGAATTATTTTATCAAATGTTGTTGTTGTTGCTGCTGTTGTTGTTTTCTATATTATAGTGAAACAAAAAGTAAGATATATATGAATGTATAAACTCGGAAATCAATCAGTTCATTTTATAGGATAGAAAAAAACTTGGCAAACAATGCGTTGATAATAAAGTCAAAAAATTCTATTCTTTTTTTACGCATACAAACACAAAAAAAAAATACTAGAAATATAAGGAGCAAAAGAAACGAAGAATAAATGTAAATTTCTTTTTTCTAAAATAACTAATGTGCGAGCTATATATGAGCTATCGCACTCACTGTGTTTGTTTTTGACTGATTGGATGATCTTCACCTTTCATTAACTTATACATTAATTGACCCATTTTAGCTGGAGAATCACTAACAGTAACTTGGGCATCTTTTAATGCTTGAATTTTTCCTTCGGCACCACCTGATTTTCCACTAATAATGGCACCAGCGTGACCCATACGACGGCCTGGTGGAGCTGTTTGACCAGCAATAAATGCAACAACAGGTTTAGCGTTTGAACCAGTATTATGTTGTTTAAGATATTCGGCAGCAGATTCTTCAGCATTACCACCAATTTCACCAATAAGAATAATACCAGTTGTTGATTTATCATTTAAAAATATATCCAAACAATCAATAAAATCAGTACCATTAAATGGATCACCACCGATACCAACACATAATGATTGACCAAGTCCAACTTGACTGGTTTGATGAACAGCTTCATATGTTAATGTACCACTACGTGAAACAATACCAATTGGACCAGGTCGATGAATATGACCAGGCATAATACCAATTTTACATTTACCAGGAGCTAGAAATTCAAATTATTATTATTAGATCATATCAAATAAATTAATATAATACGTACCAATAACACCGGGACAATTTGGTCCAACAAGACGAGATTTATTTTGTCGTACAAGTGCATGTTTAACTTTAACCATATCATGTTGTGGAATACCTTCTGTAATACATACAATTAAACCAATACCAGCATCAATAGCTTCAAGAATAGCATCAGCAGCTCCTGGTGGTGGAACATAAATAACAGTAGCTGTTGCACCTGTTTCTTTCATAGCATCCTGTACGTTTTTAAATACTGGTAAACCAATATGTTTAGTACCAGCTTTTTTTGGATTAACACCACCAACCATTTTTGTTCCATAATCGAGAGCTTGTTGAGAATGAAATGTTCCCTGTTTACCGGTAAAACCTTGGCAAATTACACGTGTTTCACCAGTGATATATAAATTTTTTCGTGTTGAATCATAAAGTGATTTATCATAAGATGATTGAGAATTCTGTTGTTGTTGACTTGAATTAACTATAGAACTTGTTTGAATAAAACGACTTGATGATGTCGAAATTATCGATGAAAAAAGACGTTTTGATAACATGTCAACAATATAGATCTACAATTACAGATACATATATAAGACTAGATTATTCTTATAATAAAAGAATTTAAAAAAATATATATAAAATAAATTTATATTTGTTTTCGTCCTCCTGATTTAACATATTGAGATTTTTCATCGGTTAATGGAACATACATAACAGCCATATGTCTTTGTTCGTAATATGTTCCATCAGATTTTTTATCGTATGTTATCATTTCTTGACCAAAACTATTTCCAACAGGTGCAACAAGTCGTCCACCAACTTTTAATTGACGAATAAGTTCATATGGTGTACCAGATGCTGCAGCACCAACATGAATAGCATCATAAGGTGCTTCACTAATATAACCTTGTCGACCATCACCTTTATGAATTTCTAAATTATTTTCATCCATTAAATTTTTATTATGTTTATTTATATTTATAATTGATTTATCAACAAGTCCTTGAATATGTTCAATACCAATAGCTTTACCACCTGGACGAACTAAATGTGCCATACAAGCTGTTAAATATCCTGAACCTGAACCAACATCAAGAACTTTTGCGCCTTAAAAATTAAATAAATTGTTAAAATCTATATGATATATATATAGCATCAAATACCAGGTTGAAGTTTATCTTTAAGAATTTCTAATCCAAAACTATGCATATGTGGTGCACTAATGATAATAATATTCGATGCTTTCAATTTAATAGGAAAATCCTACCTTATTGTTACCTGGATAAAAAAGAAGTTACATATATTTTGTATTGAACATGCATATACTTACTGCATAACCGACTAAAATAAAAATCAATGAAATTTATTTTTTTAAATAAATTTTTGTTTTTTTTCAATTACTTGATTGTGGTCGATCACTGTAAGCATCAAATTTGTCATTAGTAAGATCAGCTCGATCAACTTGTAACATTGCATTTTTAATACGTTCATCTGTGATTAAACCATTTTTATATAAATTTTCAATTAATTCTTGATGTGTAGAACCTGATGAATGCCAAGCTTTACGTTGATTAAATGCTGTTAATGGTAATGAATGATAGGAGATAATAAATACAGCACTTAGAATTGAAAACATAGATGAATAACTTATATTTGACAACATCAATAGCTAATAAATCTGAAAATAAAACAAAACAATTAATATTTAAATATAACCAAATATAAATATTATTATACTACTTAACTCTTTCTTTTATGCAAAACGTTCAACGTTCTTGAGAAAGAACCTTGTATGAGGTAGAAAAAATCTTATACACTCATGCATTTATGCATAAATTAAAAAACTCGAGTCAACATTTTGTATTTTAAAAATCCGAACTACTTAATAATTACTACATATAGAAGCTAACTATAATATTTTCCTAAATAATATTCGATAACCTTAAACTCATTTATTCAATTAATACTACTATTATATTCTAAACATCATCTTAGTTACCATTAGTTGATAACTACGGAATACTATTCTATTTAAATCTGGCTTATTGTTTTATAATACATCCTTTTCTAATAACTAATATTTCCATGAAGTTAAATTAATTTATCCTTAATAAATATTTAATTAAATATTCAATTTACTTTTGTAAAAACTCTTCTATGTACAAATATAATCATCATTTCAAATTTTTGATCAACATTTTTTTCAATTCCATTTCGGTCGAATTTTTAATACATATTAAACCACTTTTTTTTTGGTCGATTGTTTATGTTTTTTTTAATGTTGTTTTATCCTCTTCTAAGAAATAAACCATTCAGAAATAAGTTGACATTATACTCCCATCTATCAATATATATTTTCTTACGATTTGCCATTCATATCATATGCCCATCTATCCAACAAAAAACTATACACAAATATTTTTGTTAGAAACAATCCGATTTTCATGTTTAAATTTAGTTTTTTGTTTTTGTTCTAGAAAACAATAATGACACGAGTTAAATGTTCACAACTTCGTGGTAAAAAACCAGGTAAATTATATAAAAATATCTTTTTATTATTTTGATTAAAAATAACACTTTGTTTTTTTATTTAAGATGAAATTCTTAAACAATTAGGTGATTTACGACAAGAATTAAATACATTACGTGTTGGAAAAGTAACAGGTTCAGGTGGTGCACAAAAATTAGGTAAAATTCGTAATGTACGTAAATCTATTGCCCGTGTACTTATTGTTCGTAATCAAACAACAAAAGAACATTTAAGAGCATTATATCATGGTAAAAAATACAAACCCAAAGATTTACGTAAACGTAAAACACGTGCTATTCGTCGTTTATTATCACCAAAAGAACGATCAGTACAATTAAAAAAAATTCAACGACGACAATGGGCTTTTCCACAGCGTACATTTGCTGTTAAAGCATAAGAAAATGAAGAAAAACCATCCTGTTTTTTTTCTGTTGTTGTTTTTTTTTATATTCGTTATTTAATAACTAAAGCGAATAAAATAAGAAGAAGATAAATAACAAAATAAAATGATAAGACACAATTATGTGTTTTAGATATGCTGAAAAAGAAGCAAGTAACACTTCAGAATAGTATACCAGGAAAATTCATTCCAAGAAATGTTTCATCATCGGGATCAGGTTTGTAGTTACATATACATATTCTAATTCTATTTTCTTTTTTCAATACTTAGCTTTTCCATCGGGAGCTAATGATAATCGATTTAATTCTAAAATGGCTGAATTACTTGCTTCATCATCATCAATAAATGATGAAAATGAATTTCTGTCAACAAAATCTTCTCAAGATAATTTAACATCAAATGAATTAATATCCAATGATTCATCATCGATTCATTCAAAATTATTTCATAGACGTATTGTTACAATGATTGAAGCATCAAAAAAACCTAATAATGATCTTTCAGCAACATCTTCTTATACTGAACAAAAATCTCAACCAATTACGTTTGGTCAATTACGACAAGCAACAATAGCATCTACATGTGCAACTATTATTGATGATAAATCAATTTCTCATTCAATAATAACAGATACGGAAGACAAACATCAGAAAAATATAACGTCATTTACAAGAGATAATAATTTGGATTTAAATTCAATAACATTAAAATCTTGTAGTAAATATCAAACGAATAAAGAACGATTATATTATTCACCATCACTTGAACAATTATTTGAACAACAAAATATTATTTCACAAACAAAAAAAGAAGAAGAGGAAAAATCTCAACAATCATCATTAACTGTTGATGAAATTCTTGCTATGTATTATTCTAAAGTAAATGTACCAACAAATATCGAATCTCATTTACCATCTTTAGTTTATCCAAATAATACAACGACAACAACAAGTAATTCAGGTTTTTGTATACATTCATCAGTACCAAGTTGGAATTCATCACCAAACAATCAATATACCATTCCATCACCTCGATTATTATCAAATGATCAAAATAAAATCCGACCACCACCACCATCCTATTTATCTAGCGTAACTAATAGTACCTATAGGATGGCTCCCATAGGTATGTAAACTATTCAGTAGATATGTATATCGTGATAATATTCTATCCAGAAAAGATACGAATATACATACCATTGTTTTTATAGTCTCTTGTTCACTTTATTTTTTATCCTATCTTGTCGAAACTTTGTTACATTACCATCTAATACATTATACTTGATTTTATATTAGTACCTAATTCACCACAACATCTCATTCATTCAGCTGGTTCATTACCTGTTTTAAATCATCTTTATCCTCGATCATCATCAACACAATATCCATCAAATAATCTTCCAAATTCTACTTTATCATTTTCTTCAATTTTGACAAATCCTACAAGCAATAATTCTTATCGTCCTCCACCTCCACGATATCAATCACTAACATCAAATAATATCGAACGTTCATATTCAACTTTACCATGTATAAATGATTGTTCTACATCTAATCAACAAATAAAAACTAACAATAATAATGCATCAGCAGGTTTTGATCGTGAATTTTCTCGTTTACTCTATGGGAAAGATGCTGAAAAAACTCGACGTAAAAAACAAAAACGTAAAGCTTTTAGTGATCCTGTTAAGTAAGATTTTTTTTGAAAAAATTATTATTATTAATATTAATTTTGTATTAGACGAAGTGTTGAAGAAGCCGGTCGATCTGCAGAAAAAGGCCATCGTCGAGTAACAACTCATTTAAATAAGACTGATACATTTAAAGAAGAAGATGACGATGATGATGAAATTGAATCTGATCGATCAATTAATCATAAACAAGAATTAAATCTTTCACGACGACGACGTTTTCATCGTCAATCGGAGTAAATAAAAAATAAAATGATTTTCCGTTTCTATTTATATTCTAATTTAGTCTTATTGAAAAAACTCGAGAATCTACAAAAAAATCTCTTCCATCAATAAATCCATCATTAAAACGTCGAATTCCATCATTTTTACGTGTCTATTCTCAAGCATCATCATCAAATGATATTCTACTTCAATGGCATCTATTTAATTTATCTGAGCTTGAATCATTCTACACAATGATAACAAGATTATATAAAAATGAAAATTTAGCTCGTGTACAACTTTATGAAGCATATCGAGCAGCATTAATTTCTGCTCATACATCGAAAACATCATCAAATTCTAATGCAATTTCTACAAATTTATAGATCTAATTGTTTTTTTTTCATTCCTTTTTTCGGTGCTAATATTTTTTAATAAAATATTTTTTTTAATTTTTAGATTAAATGAATTTAATTGAACAAATTTTGAACCAAAATCCTCATGTTCATATACACGATGATAAACGTGTATATGTTGAGGAAATCATTCATTCATTAATTAAAGATGGACGAAATATGTTACATGTTGTAGCAGATTTTGATTTTACATTAACAATGTATGAAAAAAATGGAGTTCGTCTACCATCAACATTTGGTGTTATTGAATCAAGTGATATTATCAAAGTAAGGAATTTTTTATACTAATAGTTTTGCTATCAGAAGGTGTGGGCAGTGTTTTATCTAGGTTTTTCCTTCTGAGAGTGCGATAGCGCCGCCATCCTTGACTCCCTCTAGATAAATCATTGGGTATGGGTGAAGCTGGGCGTTAACATGCACTGACGATTGCATCCTCACCTACACCCTCAAGATTAAGAAATGAATACATATGTGTTTTTTAGTTACCTGATGGTTCATTACTTCGAGATAAATCGGAACAATTACGTTTAAAATATCATCCAATTGAAATTGATGTTCATATGGATGTTAATGAAAAAATACCTTATATGATTGAATGGTGGCGTTCAGCTCAAAATCTCTTTGTTTTATCAAATTTAAACAAGTCTTTCTTACATGAACTTGTTTTTCAATCAAACATGGAATTAAAAAAAGGTGTTCGGGAGTTTATATTAGATTTATTAACTAGTGAAACTCCTATTTTAATATTCTCAGCTGGTTTAGGTAAATAAATATATATATATTTTTTGTAATATTTTAAAATTGAATACTTTTAGGTGATATTATTGAGATTTTCTTCGAAAAAGAAATTCCTGAATTTAAACATAATCATAAAGCTTCACATATTGTTTCAAATTTTATTCGATATGATACTGATGGCAAACTTTTAACATTTAATGATAAATTAATTCATTCATTTAATAAAAATGAACATGAAATTCATGATACATCCTATTTTCAAACAATATTAAATCGTCCAAATGTTATTCTTCTAGGTGATACACTTGGTGATATTGGTATGATAGGTGGAATGAAAAATTTAAAACAAATATTAAAAATTGGTTATTTAAATCATAGTACACCGGCGAAATTAGAAGTTTATAAAAATGTTTATGATATTGTTATATGTGATGATCAAACATTTGATGTCCCAAATAGAATTTTAAAAGCAATTTAACAAATGATTTCTTGTTCCATTAAAATAGATTTTTGTTTAGATAAAAAAAACAGTGGATCTCATTTATATTATTATAGTTTAAAAGAAGACAATGGTGATTAGTTGAATTGTTTAACGGAGAATTTTATTTATATTTCAGATTAATGGATAATAAGAAACGAATCAAGAAAGAAGTTTATATAGCTGATGATGAAGAAATAATTATTGTTAAAAAGAAAAAGAAATCATCAATTTTTATAAGAATGTAATAATACCAAAAAATTATTTTTATACAAAGATTTAATTTGTTTTTTTAGTTTGATACGAGCCTTTATTAGTATTGGAATATTTATTTTATCATTTATTGCATTAGCACCATTTTTACTTCAAGTATATGGTGATGTTATCTTAACAAAAATGTTTTTTCAAACTTGGTGTAAGGATTTTTGTTTCTTGCGACTTTTATAGTAATTTTTGATTTTGAATAGCTCGTTATTATCCATGGATTGATATCACTAAGCCAAATATATTTAGTTTGAATGGAGTCAATGTTTATGAACAAACAGAACCCAATGTCACAGTTGGAATGTGGTAAGTTTAAATTATATGATGAGAAAAATATTCGCGAAAAGTAAGAAGATATGATAGTGGAAGATGTAGATGCCCTTCAGAAAAAATCATTACCATAAGTTTTGAATTCAAGTTTGCTAGTTGGTGGCACATCACTCTTACACACTACTCTATGAGAACGATTTATAAATATGAATTCTTTTACAGTATTTCTTCAATTAAGGTATATAACACCATCAGCAATTGAAATCGATCATAGTTTACCCACTCTTGGTGATCATCTTAAACGCTATATAAAATCGAATGATCAACCTATAATTATGTATTTACATGGACAAGATGGTACAAGGTAAATACGAATATGACACATGTCAATTGTAGAAAATATTTCTTTTTAATAGAGCAACACATTATAGAGCAAATCATTATCGAGTGATGACTGCTTTTGGTAATCATATAATTGCACTTGATTATCGTGGTTATGGTGATTCAACTGGTATAGCAAGTGTAAATGGTGTTGTTCATGATGTATTACATGTATTTAAAGCAATTCGTCAGACTTGTCCTGAAAATCCTATAACTATATGGGGACATTCAATGGGCACAGGGGTCGCACTGTGGACAATGAATAATTTATTTCAAAATATTACAGATTTAAAAAAGCCATCAGGTTTAGTACTTGAAGCACCATTTTATAATACAATGCAAGGATTTGTGTCATATCCACTTACACGAGTAAATTGATTTTGTATTATTTTATTTAAAAAATTATTTTATTGTTTAGATATTAAAAGTAAATCCATATTTCATGCAAGCTGCACTTGATTCGTTTACAACTGTAAAACTCGATTTTCCAAACAATGAACTGTAGGAAAAGAAAAAAACTTCGATAAAATAATAATTTATGTATTCTAGTATTTCATCACTTCCATTACCAATTGTTGTCATACATTCTGAAGATGATAATGTTATTCCTTATTTTCATGTTGAATTAGTAAGTTAATCATAACTTTCAGATATAAATTATTATTCGAAATTTTTCATAAAGATTCAGGATTATGTTAAACAACATCGTGATAAAAATTTACCTTCAGTACGTTTTATTACAGTTCCACGTTCAGCGGCTTGTGGTCATAATCATATATATTCATATCCAAAATTTCAAGAAATTGTCAGGTAAATCCAATAGATTTATTTCTACTATATTTAAAAATTTTCTTTCTAGTGATTTTTCATTCCTCAAACGTTCGCCATCAACATAAACAAACAAATTTTTTAAATGTGATACTACAGTCATTTAATTAGCAATATTTTTTTACAATCAAATTTTCTAGTTTTTTTATTGTAATTTTCATTAAAATGAATGAATGATTTTTTTGTTTTTATAGATATAAACAACATTTTCTATTTTCTTTTCTTTGTAAAAAAAAAACTAAAATGGATGAATCATCATCCGATCAAGAATTAATTGTTGAAATGCCTCATGTTCAACCAAAAACTACGTAAGAAAATAAAGATTCTTTTTTTTAATTTGAATAATAAATATTTCTATCTTTAAAATAGTTCAATAATGATTAAAATAGGACTTGTAATTGCTGGTTTATATATTTTAATATCAATTCTTATTCCAATTATTCTTCTTATCTATCCAATTATAATTAAACATGTTGTTTTTTTGAATATGCGTTAGTTAATTTATTCTATTGAATAATATTTTATTTTTCATATTTATCTATGTTTTAGTCAAAACACAAACAAATTTTACACAACCAGAAACATTAGGTCTTAATCGTGTATCGAATTTTTATTTAAATGTTGATAATCAAGTATCTCTTGGCATTTGGTTTGTTATTCAAATAAATATTATGATATTTTACTATTTTTTTTCAGGCATTTTCGTTCACCATTAATCAAAGATGAATTTTTTCTTAATGATGAAGATTATTTTCAAAAATATCTGACATCAAATATTCCAATAATAATTTATTTTCATGGAAATGCTTATGATCGGTAGGAAGATATATTGCTTTCGTCAATAAAAAGAACGTTTTTTTTTCATCTTTTTAGTTCATTGCTAACTCGTCGTGAATTATGTCAAAAATTACGTGATGAATTAAAATATGATGTTATCGCATATGATTATCGTGGTTTTGGAGATTCAAAAGGCGAACCAACTGAACATAATTTAATTAAAGATGCTCGATTTATTTATGATTGGTTAAAGAAATTAAATAATGGTCGACGAAAAATATATTTATGGGGTCATTCACTTGGTTCAGCTGTTGCTTGTCAATTAGCAGTACAATTATCACAGGATAAAAATCTTGGTGGAATTATAATGGAAGCTCCATTTATGAATATTCATCAAGCTTTATTAACTCATTGGATTTCTTTAGTAAATTCTAAATTAAAACTTGATATATTTATTTTAACAAAAATTCTTTCTTTAGTTTTTTCGTTGGCAACCATGGTTTTATAGTATAACAGAAAAAGCTTTACGTAAAAATAAACTTTCATTTGAAACACGTAATCATTTATTAAAACTTGATTGTCCATGTATACTTATACATTCTGATGATGATTTAACAGTACCTTATATACATTCAAAACAATTATTACAAATTGGGTTAAATGCTCATACTGATAATAAACAAAAGAAAAAACTTTTTCATTTTACAATTGATATGATTTCATATCATCGATCTGGTTATGGACATAGACTTATTTATCAAGCACCAAAACTTACATCTACATTGAAGTATAATATTATTATTATTGTTGTTAGTACTATTTATATTGTTTTTTATTTTAGACATATTATATTTGATGAAGATTTATGAACAAAATTTATACTCAAGGAATTATTTTCGTTTTGGTTCAGATATTTGTGTATGGAGAATATATATTTGTAATAGAATGATGTTGATACTTTTCTTTTTTCTATTATGTTCGATATGATCTTTGTCTTTTTTTGTGAAGAAAACTGATACATCTCTTTTTTTGCTAAATACATATACATAGTTCGAATTTGAACAATTGCTATTTAAAATAAAGGTATATATATTAGACGGATCTGATACTGGCACATATATCTTCTAGTTCTGTATTCGATTAATTTCATCTAGATATCATATCGCGCACGACTGAAATGCGTTCGCATAAGAAACACATACTTCTCACAACATATTCTTTTTTTCTTGTAACATATTGATCATTTTGAAGATTTGTTTTAGAGCGTTTTTCTCGTTATATATAAACGAATACTGAAAACGATAAAGATTATTCTAAATAAAATGCTTAGATAATACATAGGGTAGGCTGGATCATTGAAGATTGGACTGCCTGTGCTATAATATGATATACTTAAGTACGCATAATAATTTCTGGCAGGATATTTAAAATAAAAAACAAACAAAGGTTACTCTGGTAAGAAAAATATCTGAAATGCAAGTATAATTTTAAAGTATTACCTACTAGTAAAAATGTGGTTTATCCGGTCCGATCAGATCGAAGCCGGATTGCCAGATCGGTTCCGATTCTGATACATATAACAGTTCCTGCCATGATATTCAAATAAAAAACAAATAAAGTTCATTTTTGGTGTGGGTGTGTATTTCATAATTAAAAAAAGAGCAGCTTCACTTACATTCACATCCTTTTATCGGAAAAGAGATTTATTAATATTCTAATCGATTCCAATTTTTTTTTTCTTGCACAATACGATAATGATTTTTCTCTATTATGGTCTTGCATTGTCATTGTTAAACGATCATAATCTATTAAATGGCGAAATTTACAACCTAAGCAGTGATATTTACACAAAAATAAATAATTTCGAAATTGCGTTATGCTGTTATTAAAAGGCATTGGAATATCTAAATAATTATCTCTGTGATCGTTATTGCATGTGAAAACCAAGTACATGGTATATATCCACAACATCAAGACGAACTAAACATTTGACTTTATTCAACGCCATATAATTGGGCTCACGTATTGCATAAAATTGGTAGGCGTTCTCTGAATGAAGGTGATAATTCTGAGCCATTGAGCAAGCTTTTAAAAGCAAAACAATTGTTTATTAAAAATCCACCACTAACTGATCGTCTTGTGTTTGAACTATCTACACTCTACGATGATATTGCATCAAATCATTTCTTTTCGAAAGATTATCTACTAACATACATTCAAATGTTGATACGAATTAGTTCTTTATCTATTTATATCAAACACACAATTTTAAAGAAGTATAAAATATTCACAGTTTTTCTAATTTCATATCTATTTTAGTGTACAGAACGTTGCATATAACTTAATTGGAAATTAATTTAAAACATAAAATTTCAAGTTCAGATATCAGATATTCACAATAAAGAAGGATGGTTGTGATAGTGTAAATGTGGGTGAGATAAAAAAGGGGAGATATCCTCACTCATACACTTTTTTGAAATTTCCTTTTTTTCTAGATGTTTGTACTATATCAAATAAATATTATAGAAAACATTCTCTTTTTCTTACCAAATACAAATCAAAATCATATCTGAAATTATATTTAAATACTATAGTTCTTTCGAATTTTTAAGAATACCACACTTATATTAATAAAGAGAAGAAAATTCTATAATTGAAAAGTAAGAGCCTTTAGACTGCCTACGCCTGGTGTTATTGATAAATATTTCACTCTTTGAAAATAAAACAATGTGAATCTTAACTTTATCATATGATGATCTATGCATTTTTTTAATTATATTTATTATAGGATAAAATCAGAGCGATTAGAAGAAATGAAATGAAATATCAAACTTCCAATTATTGATATTTGAATAGATGCATCTGTTATATTTGTTTTCAAATTGACTTAAGATATTAGCAGTGCTTTAGAAATAAAAACAGACATTTTCTCATCATTTCATCTCGTTTTAAAATCAACTACGAATCCAGTCAACATGTATTGCTTTATCATTTTTGTTATTCTCAGGTAAATAACTATTGATTTTTATCATTAATTTTATTAATATTTATTCATTTCATATTTTAGTGTAACAGGTTTGATTTCTATTTTATTTTATATCTATTAGTTTGTTACTTTCACAGTTAAAGTTAAATCTCAAATATGTGAAAAAATACCGCAATACGGTCAATGTTCGACAAACATTGCTTGTGGATGTTTTCACATGGTAGGCGCCGATGAAAATACAGGTGTTTGTGGCTTTCTTTGGCCGACATGTTCTCGTCTTCTACCATGTATTTCGCCAGACAATTCATGCCTTCAGCCGAATACAATTTGCGTTCAACATCCCTACTGTGATGATCGTCCTCTATGTTATCCAACTACATTGATCCAAGAAAATTATTGTCCACTAATGACAAGTAAGTCGATTGATGGATGATAAATGCAGCAGCGTTATCCGCATACTCAAGATATTTGCAACTATAAATTCCTTGCGTTTTAGATAAAACCAGTCTTAAATGGAAACAAAGTGCAATAACTGTGGCTGGAGGATATGGACACGGAAGTGAATTAAACCAACTCTTCGGCCCTTCAGGGATCTTTATTGACGATGAAAACACGATTTATATTGCTGATGCTCTAAATAATCGCATCGTTACATGGAAATCTGATTCAAAGAATGGCCAAGTCATTGCAGGTGGAAACGGAATGGGAAATGCAAATGATCAGTTGTACTGGCCATCGGATGTGGTTTTTGACAAACAAAACAATTCTCTGATTATTTGTGATCGAGGAAACAGACGGATAGTGCAGTGGCTTTACCAGGACCAAACAAAACAACAAATTCTTATCTCTAATATTGATTGTGAAGGTGTGGCAATGGATAAAAATGAATTTCTATATGTTTCTGACTCTGGGAACAATGCAGTGAGACGATGGAAAAGGGGAGCATACAATGAAGGGATAGTAGTGGCAGGTGGAAATGGCAAAGGAGGTCAACTTAATCAATTTGCTGAACCTAATTTTATCTTTGTTGATGAAGATCAATCTGTCTATGTATCAGACCAAGACAATGATCGTGTGATGAAATGGAAAAAAGATGCAAAAGAAGGAATTGTTATTGCTGGTGGGAATGGTCCAGGAGCAAATCTTAATCAATTAATTGCTCCTCAAGGAGTGATTGTTGACCATTTGGGTCAAGTATATGTAGCAGATATTGGAAATCATCGAGTAATGCGTTGGTGTGAAGGAGATGAAAAAGGTGAAATTGTGGTTGGTGGAAACGGGATCGGAGTCGAATCAAATCAACTTTTTGGTCCCGCTAGTTTATCATTTGATGATAAAGGAAATCTTTATGTTGTTGAACGTTCAAGTGCTCGAGTTCAAAAATTTTTAGTTGATATCTAAATGGCAATCTTTTATTCAAACAAAAGAATAGAAATGAATTCATTAAAATAATATTTTATTGAGTCTCTTTTGAGATTTTTCATATTTTTGTTTTCGAAAGATTTTTTCGATTTTTCATTTCAATAAATCTTTCTTAACAAATTCACATGTTTTTTTTCACTTTTAAAAGAAATTGTTTTAATCAAACCTTTAATTTCAATATTCTTCAATTTCGATTTTCCATTGAGTCGTTTGTTTAATAAATATCGATGTCTATGATTATTTTTATTATTTGTGATTCATTCTAAAGTTTTTATAGTAGAAGAGCAATAAATGATTGATGATGAATGAAATTTAATTGAAATAAGAAGAAGGGAGAGGAAGAAACGGACTTTTAGTTCTCATGGGATAATTGACTATAATATTTTGTAATCTTTATACTGTATGTACTGATTTCATGGTATTGCGTGATAGTGATTGTGACGTTATTATGGATTGTTTTTGTTATAAGTAATAACGCAAAAAGAACAAATCTTCTAGATAAATGTCTCGGTTTAAAAGATCTTCCTGTCCAATAAGATGAACATCTTCAAGATCGGCAGTGAATTCTAGTTTTCGGAAAGAATCTGGGTGTCAGTGCACATAAGTAATAGGAGAGAGATAGTTTCTAAATTGTAGCACTGTACATTGAATTATGACTACGAAAGTATATGTAACTTATTGATTAAATAATAGACTTTTTTTTGAAAGAAATTCATTTTTGTTTCAAGAATGGAGAGGTACTTTTATTAAATGGTTTTATCAGTTACTGATTAAAACAATAAATATAAATTGAAACGATGATTTATCTGTTGATTGAATATATTTCAAAATTTTGATTTATTATTACGGATTTGATATAGATGTAATCATTATTATGTTTGCACTGATCTTTGATGAACAGAAACATGTTTTTTCTTTTAGTTAAACAAATAGTTGCAATACATTTGGTTTTTCTCCTTAATAAATTTGTACGATAATATAAAGAAAAATAATCATAATTTTACTTTCTTCTATTTACACAGAAAGAGAAAAAAAACTTATTCTGTATTATTAATGCATTTTATGTTTTTATTCACTTCCTTTTTGATCAGTCTAATAATATGTGAAAATAAACACGAAAAAGAATAAGTTAAAATTCATTTTGTCTCATACGTGTAACTACACGAACGTTACGTTATCAAATGTATTAAACTTGTAAATGTCTATTCCATATATCTTTTCTCTTTTCGTTAGATAATTTCTTGATTCGTTATTTATATTCTAGAATACATGGAGGGTGAGGGACACAGGTAATGGTGTTCGTCTATTATATCTATTTTTTTCATCCACATTAACACCTACACGGTCTTAAATATTTGTGTATCGAGAATATAAATTTGTCATAGAATGAAGTTTGTCCTTTTCTTATCTATAATAATAGATAAAATTCTTCCTTTTTACGAATAAAGCTTATACATTCCTTTATTTCAGTTACTTATATATATATATTTAGAAATTATAAATCCATTTGGAACAGCAGTTATAATAATAGAGTAAATGACTGCTACAAAGTACATTTACTTCTTCACTGACTCTATACGTAGAAATTATTCATAATATTTCATAAAAAAGAAAACATTTTCTTAATGAAAATCTTTCAGTTATAATTACATCAAGTAACAACTTATATTTACAGGGGGAAAAAAATAACCTGCATAATAAAAGTTTTTGATAAGGAACAGAGCAACAAAAACTATTATTAATTTTCTTGTCAAATAAAGTAAAAGATAACAAGCACATTTATATTTATAGAATAAATATATAATTTATTGGTTACGATTATTAACAATATGAGATTACATCCAATATTTCTTGAACCTGAAGTACATTCAAGTATATTTCTATTGACCAATATAATTGGTTCAATATTTATTCGATTAATTATTCATTCATGGCCTTTATCATTATTTTGGTCAATATTTTATATTATTCTCATTTTTTTAATTAATCATGCTTTAGCAGCTGGTCGTTATTATCTACCAATTAAAAATTTACGTGATCAAACAGTAATTGTTACTGGTGCAGCAAGTGGAATTGGTCGTGTTAGTGCTCTTAGTTTTGCTAAACTCGGCGCTCGTGTTATTATTGGTATTCGTGGACAAGAACGTGCAGAAAGAATCGCAAAACAATTATCAAAAGAATCAAATAATGGAACAGTCATTGGGTATGATCTTGATCTATCAAGTTTAGAAAATGTTAAAAAATTTGCTGAAAAAATTGATCATGTTGATATTTTACTTAATAATGCTGGTACTATGCCAGAAATATATTCCGAAACAGTCGATGGAATTGAACAACAATTTGCTACCAATTATAGTTAGTAATATATATTTATATTTATTGTTAAAATAAAAATATTCATATTTGTTTTAGTTGGTCATTTTTATTTAACTCAACTTCTTTTACCTTTACTTACCAATGGTCGTGTTGTAAATGTTAGTAGTTTAGTGCATCATGCAGTTCCATCGACGGGTATTGATTATTCATTTTCAAAATTAAAACAAAAATATAATCATATACAAGCATATGCATTTTCAAAATTAGCACAAATCTATCATGCTAGTGAATTAACACGTCGTTATGGTATTAAAGCTTATTCATTACATCCCGGCACAGTTATGAATACGAATTTAAATATCCATAAATCTGTTGTGGAACGATTTATTCTTCTTCTATTATCTGCAGTTGGTAAAACAGTTGAACAAGGTGCTATGACTTCACTTTATTGTGCATTATCCAATGATGCTAAACCTGGTCACTTTCATTCGAATTGTCAAGTAAGACGAGCAAGTAAATTAGCATTAGATGCTCGTCGTGCAGAAGAATGTTGGAATGAAAGTGAAAAATTAATAAATGAAAAAATAAAATCATAGTGTATATTTTTATAGTTGTGTTTAACGAATGTTACTAAAATCTTTTCCTAAATTTAAATATAAACAAATAAAACTTTTAACTAATGAACAAAACAAAAAAACTGACAAATTTGTAATACGAAATAGAGGAATTATGAAGCTCTGTTATGTATAAATATATTTTCGGATAAATAATTTATTAGCTGAAACTTGTTTTCGATTGATATTTGTCTTTTAATTTAAAAAGTATATCGATATATTGCAATCATTTGCATATTATCAAGATTGATTTTTGATATTTTTCTACTTTATTATGAGATAATTTTAACTAAGAGCAAAGTCCACGTGAACTTTACTCGAAACATCATATGAATCAGTAACAATGCAGACTTCAAATATTACCTCATAACCATAAAGGTAAAAGAAAGAAAGAAAGATGTGTCATATGATTCTATTTTTATAATACTTAATATAAGAACACCTTTATGTGATATTAATTTTTCCAATTTGTTTCTGTTATATTGCATAAAAACAAAAAATATAGGGGTTGTTACGGATGCAGCAAGTATAATTAATCACGTTTATACTTTTTGATTTGGAAAACTTGATACACGTGAACAAAAACGTGCAGAAAAAACAGCAAAATAGCTAAACAGTGATTGAATATGATCTCGATCTATCAAGTTTAAAAATTTGATCATGTTGATATTGTAGAAAATTCATTTAAATTGACAGACTATAATATTCGAAAGTATCTTCAGTACAAAGGTTATTGTGTGTATGCAGGAATAATTATAAATAGAAATATATAAATTAATATCATACATTTTTCTGAGGTTTTCTTTCTAAAATCACAGAAATATTCAGTTTTAACCTACAGCTAAATAAAATATAATATGAGATATTACATAAGGTTGTTTACAATCTATATCTATGTTGAAAGAAGAAGAATAGAAGGAAATTAAAATATAGATCACAATAAACTAATCTTGATGAATATTAAAAAGTTTCGCAAGTTCTTGAAAATTTGTAATAACTTGTTGATCTTTGATAATCTATATAGAAAACAAATGTTTATATATACATATATTAGAATATTTTAGTTTTTACCTTTCGTGCAATTGGAATACGATTAAAAACATTCCAAAGAACAATTCCAACAACTTTGTTCTCTTTTAAATAAAATACAACACCTTTATTATAATCCTGTTTATCTTCTCCTTTTGTTACACTTGTTTCAGGTATTTTATGTTTTAAATCATTAGCTGTTGATGCTGGTGCAACATCGTTTTGTTCACGATTACCTTCACTATCTTCTTTTTGTGGTTCATCATCTGGTTTACCTTTAGCATAAACAGCAACAGTTTGTAATTGAGAATCAGTTAAACCAATAGCTTCAAAACCAATTTTTGGTCCTAAATCTGACCAAAACATTGATTGATGCCAATAAGGTTTATGTGCACCAGTCATATTTTCTCCAGCTAATTTACCACTAACAATAGCATGATCATAATGTTCAACACGTCGTCGACCTAATTTAATATCATAAAAAGATGCAGCATCACCAGCAACCCATATATTATGACGTGCTTGTAATTCTGCATTAACAAGAAAACCACCTTGTTCACCATCAATTTCTAAACCAGCTGATTTTGCTAAATCTGTATTAGGTTCAATACCAACAGCAATAACAACATGATCAGATTTAATATAACTTGTTTGTCTTGGTTTTTCTGGATCAATATAAGAAAGATTTATTTTTCCTTCTTCAATTGTTGTACCAACAAGTTCAACATTTGTCAATACTTCTGCACCTTCTATATTGAAGAAAAAACGAATTTTAAAAATAAATAAATAAATAAATTAAAAATTACAAACCGTCTCGAACACGTTCAGTTGCCCATTTACTTAAATATTCTGGTAAAACTTTACTGATATTACCTAAGGATAATAATATGAAGATAAATTAATTTCATAGATATTTTTGTTTACCAGTTTCTGGCATTAATTGAGTTACTTTTCCACTTGGTTTTCCATTTTCACCATTTTTCTTTGATCGATGAGCTAAAGCACATGCTAATTCACTACCAAGAAATCCTCCACCAACAATGGTTACGTCAGCACCAGAATCAACGACTTTTTTTAATGCAAAAAAATCGTCGATCTAAAACGGAAATAAAAAATAATATTTTGACTAGAAAGAAATTAAACAAAAAAAATAAAGGAAATCCTTAACTAAATTGCGTAGTATTTAATAGACAAAGATTAATTTGATCGGAAAATATTTTAAGAGAAAATAAACCTTCACTGGGTAGAGAATATTTCACAATATTATCGTTATCGATTTTAATTTGAGTTTTATTTAGCTCAAGTATTATATTAAATATATGTTGTTGTTGTGGTTGTTCGATTAATTGACAAAGTTTGTCTATTAATTCATGTCTAGTTAATGTATGCAGATAAATAGCTGAATATAGATCATTATTAGTTATTTTAATATAGAGAATTTTTACTGGTGGAATAATTATTTGATTTAATTGATTGTAAAGACGAATACTTATTGTATCATCACCATTACATATATGATGAAGATCATTTTTAGTTAATCGAAGCATATCAAGTCCTGTATAATGTTCGGAACGATGAACAACAGAAGAAAAATCATTCTTATTTAACCAATTTAATACATCTTCATTTGATGATCCTACTGTAATTTTTGTTTCTATATTTGTTTCCGAGTTATTAATTTCCGATATTTTATATTTTCCATTTGATAAAGATAATGTTTCTATTGATGATAAACTTTCTAAACTATTTTTTCGATTAATATCTTCATCTTTATATTCTTTTGCATCTAATTCACTTTTCTGTATTGATAGATTGTCTTCAGTATTTTATGTTGTACATACATCAAATAAATCATCAGGTGAGTGAGAAAGAGTAAGTAAATTCATTGTATATAGTGATGAAACAAAACATGGTTGTAAAATAGTATATTCAAGTGTTGTTTGATATTGTCGACGTTGTTCTGGATTTAATTTTTCAATTCGAATTTTATCTGCTTTACTTTTTCTTTGTGCACCTTTTAAACGAAATAATTGTATTTTACAACAACATGAATATAAATGTTTGATATTATCAATATCAATATCATGGTATGTATCAATTTGTATACGTAATGGTATACCTTTTTCTCCTCCATGTCGTTTTTGTGCAAAATCAGTTGATGTACATTTAAAACGAATAAATAAGGATGTTGTCGGTAGTGATGATCCATCCCAAATAATTTCAATAGCATTTGGTATTTGTTTTGAACGTATGATTGATAATATTCCATAAGTTAAATTCATATCTATATCAAATAATGATGATAAATGATATTCCTTTAACCATTTTTGCATTAAATCATATTCTTGATTTTGTAATATTTTATCCCAAAAACATAAACGTAATATTGAACGATAAGTACTTGAAATATGTTCAATAAAATTTTTATTCGTATGAAATTCGATTTCATATGGTTGACCTTGATTTAAATAAGTTGTTATTTCTTCATTGATTTTTGTTGATGATGATGGTAGCGCATTTAATATAAAATGAAATTCTGAACTTTTAGAAGATGATGAATGATTACTATTAGAATGATGATCATTGCTGTTTGTTAAATAATATGCGAAACTATTGATACTATTATTATTAACATCCATATTTGTTGAAATATTTTCATTATTAGTTAAAAATAACTTATCCAATGTAAAATGTTCAGTTGAATTATTTAACATAATTCTATATTTCTAGATGTATTTCTAATGACTCATGGAAAAAAAAATCTTATAGAACAAATCAAATTATTTGTATACATAAAATAATATTCTCATATATTGGTTTTATGTATATAGATATATGTATATATTTAAGTTCGCAAACTATAACTAATCGGTTTGTGCGTGCATTTTTTTTTTCGTTTTTCTTTTCTGTTCTTCTAGATTGTACTGACACCACAGAACAAAAAAAACCAAGGAGACTTACTTATAAAACGAAAAAAGAACGCCTACGCAAGAAAAAGAAAAGAAAAACGAAACAAAAAAAAACAGGTATTGATCAATAACAAAATGTATTCATGTGTAGAATTTAATGAAAAATCTAAAATTTTGTTATTCAAACTTACTCCTCTATACATTGTTAATTTGCTTTTCACACGATTTGATGATGTTTTAAAGACTTTCAAACTTTTTGGTTGACCACCTGTTGCAATTAAACATTTTTCAAATGATATTTCCCATCCATTATCTAATTTCGCAACAGAATTTCTTAAATCAAGATCAACAACCTATTTTAAATGAATTATTATAAATTAAATTTCACCAAAACTAATTTACTTTTCTTCCAAGAACAACTCCAATTCCACCAGTTTCTTGATCATTAAGTGTTTTAACATCAGTATAAAATTCTTCATCAAAAAAATATAAACTAAAAATCCAAAATATATTTTTTTATTCTCCAAAGATAATAATAGAAACCTTTTTTCTTTTCCATTCCATTGTTTAAATGAATGTTTTTCTATAGTTTCATCATCATCAGTATACCAAATATCTTTGGATAATGGTGGACGCATATATGGATAATATTTTTCTGAACTAATAACAAGAACCTAAGAAAATGAATTTATAAGAAAATTAAAATTTAATTAAATAAGAAAAAACAAACTTTAGCTGTTGCATCATGTGCACGTATAGATTTAAATGCACTCATAGCTGCTGCACCACCACCAATGATTAAATATTGGGCAAAATTAGGAATATTTGGTGTCAATTCTTCCTTATTCATTGCTTTTACGGAATCTGGATCTTCTTCTGTAGCTAAAATTAGATTTAATTATGAAAAAAAATTAGATAAAGATATAATCTATCAAACCAAGTGCTTTTCGTTCTTGTAAATTACCGACTTTTTCAATTAATGTTCTATTTGAATCATCAAGTTTATCATCAGAATCTTGAGATTTTAGATGTTTTTCGTCATATGCATTAATTGCTTGTTTTTTATCTTTTGAACTTTTTCGACTTTGAAACTACACAAAAAACAAACGTTTTTTTCTAAAAAAAAGATTAATCAAATAAAAATACATACGATCGAATAAAGAGCAACAACACCTGTTATAGCACCACCAAGATACAATAAATTTATCATATTCGCCTTTTGGTTTTGTTCATCATTTGATGATGATGATGAAGATGCTGTTGATGCACAACGAAATGTATAAGATGGACGAAGATAAACTGTTGTATGTGAAGATTCTTAAATAAAACAAAATTAAGGTTTTCTTTTTTTTTTGAAAAATATTTTCCTACCAGATTGTACTAATTTTCGAAGAACAGGTAATGTTGTTCTTGATAATGTTCGTCTCATTATATTTAAATGTTGTGCTGAAGCTAAACGAGCAATATTATGCGTTTGCATATTTTAGGAAATTAATCTGCAAATAGATTAATAGAATATTTATTTCGAACTCTGAGACCTGAAATAAATGACTCATTATATGATTTGAATGGTTAAATATTAAACCGTTTAGAAAAACTTGAGATGAGACAGAAATAAAATATTTTATTTCTAGATTATTTTCATTGAAAAAAGAATTTTGTCTATTTATTAATTGATTAAGAAAATATCAAAATAACTTCCTATTAGTTTATAACGCTCTCTATCAACGCATACCAAACGTCTAATTATTTCTCCAATAAAAATCTTCGCAACGAAAGAGAAATTATTTTGATGAGTCATACATGTCGAGATTTTCTTGAGATCGAGAAGATCATTTTTTTCTTCTCTACATTAAATGAAATACTTTTTCATCACATTCATCTACCGGTTGAGGCAAATTACATACTTACTATGTGTGGTAATGTATATAGTCTATCGAAGGATTGTTCGCTTGATTGAGTACTGAATGATATATGCACATTTTACTTGTATCAAATACAAAAAAAAAGGTGTGCTTTAAAAAATAATAGAACGAATAGGATTAAATAAAAAAAAGGTTATATATTGTTCACGTTTTTTCTTCTTCTAACACATTAAACATAATTTCTAATCGTTAAAATAATGATAGATTTTCTCATATAAACGAAAATATCTTAGAATATTCTTTTATATATTTTGCATTAAACAATTGTTATTATTATTATTTTTTACATTGTGTTATTTATTATTATGGCATTGATTTCTATAATTGCACATGTTTAAACAGATTCCTGGCGACAACAATCTCGTCAAGCAAATTAAGACGGATATCGTCTTCGGCAATGACAGATACTGTTACCGATTTCGATAGTTCAACTCATCCAGTTAACGATGAAATAAAACGAACCAAATTTGATTATAGACGACATAAAATAATCAAAGTAAGATTTTTTCAATTTAAAATATATTTGTTTTCATAATTTATTCTTATTAAATAGTCCAGTGGTTTTGGTAAACCAAGTGTTTATCATGGTCTTGTTGTTATATTTCTTGAATTTTTTGCATGGGGTCTATTAACAAATCCTGTTATATCCGTAAGAGAAAATATTAATTATAAAAAATGATTGATTTATTATTATCTTATCTAGACACTCAATCGAACATTTCCAACTCATACATTTTTAATGAATGGCGTCATTCATGGAATGAAGTTCGAAAAAAAAAACTTTCTATGATAATAATTATTTATTTATATGTATTCTAGAGGTTTATTAACATTTTTAAGTTCACCATTATTAGGTGCTTATTCAGATGTATGGGGACGAAAATCCTTTTTACTTATCACTGTTTTCTTTACATGTTGTCCAATTCCTTTAATGAAAATTAGTCCAATGTAAATTCCTCGAAATATATTTTTTTAAAATATAAATTATAACATTTTAGGTGGTATTTTGCTTTAATAAGCATAAGCGGTCTTTTTTCAGTAACATTCAGCGTTGTCTATGCCTATGTTGCTGATGTTACCGATGAAAATTCTCGTGGTGCTGCTTATGGTATGTAATATTAATATTTTTGTTTTCGATTGAAATTGTTTTGTTCAGGTTTAGTAACAGCAACATTTGCTGCATCATTAATCACAAGTCCAGCTATTGGTGCACATTTAGCAAGACTTTATAGTGATAATTTTATCATTGCACTTGGTTAGTTTTTTTTTTCGTAATAAAAATAATCTATGATTAAAATTTAATTTTAGGTACGGCAGTTGCTATATTAGATTTATTATTTATTTATTTTATGGTACCTGAATCTTTACCAGAACGTTTACGAATAGATCAAAAAGTATCTTGGGATAAAATTGATCCATTTTGTGTAAGTTTTACAATATTTTTATTCTATTTAATAATTTTATTTTATTATATAAGGCACTCCGAAATATTACTCATGATCGTTTTATTTATCTTATTTGTCTTATTGTACTTTTATCATATCTTCCTGGTATGTTATTAAATAAACGATAAACTATTTCTATATTTATTCCCATTATAGAAGCTGGACAATACTCCTGTTTTTTTGTTTATTTAAGACTAGTAAGTCATGATTGATAAAAAATATTTTTTATGAAAGTTATTTTATACATATATGTATAGGTACTTGGTTTTTCTGAAGATGAAGTCGCGTATTTTATTGCATTTATTGGTATTCTTTCATGTATTGCTCAAGTAAAGAATAATTTTATTTATTTAATTATTGAATTTTCCTTTTTTTTTTGTGAATTAAGACTATTCTTTTGGCATGTTTACAAAAATATTTTGGTGCAAAAGAAACAATCATGGTTGGATTATTTTTTCAAATTGTTCAATTAGCAGCATTTGGAATTGCAACATCAAATTGGTAAGATTAGAAATAAGAATCATTTCATTTTCAAAAATTCATATCTTTTAAGGGTTATGTGGTTTGCCGGTGGTCTAGCTGCTTTATCATCATTAACATATCCATCTATAAGTGCATTTGTTTCTGTTTATGCAAGAGAAGATCAACAAGGTAAAATTTCAAAATATATATATACATTTAAAATAATTCAAAATTTTAGGTCTTGTCCAAGGTATGGTGAATGGTGTACGTGGTTTATGTAATGGTCTTGGTCCAGCTTTATTTGGCTTTACATTTTATTTATTTAATGTAGATTTAGGTTATCCATCACCATTAGCTTTAACAAAAACCAATTCAAATTTAACAACAATAATTACAAATTCAAAACCAATTTATTCAACAATGTTAAGTCGTGATGTTCCAGGTCCACCATTTCTTTTTGGTGCTCTTCTTGCTACAATTGCATTAATGTTTTCTCTTCTTTTACCAATTTCAGTATCGAATTTAAATGGTAATGGGAATGATATGAGAACAATTGAACAGAATGCTCGTTTATTAAATTCGAAAGATGATGCAAATGACAATAATCAATTTGATTAAATAAATATTTCGTTTTGTTTTACTCCTATTTTATTACTATTAATATTTCGTCTTTTTTTTTATTTTATCATTAACAGAAAAAAAACACATAAAAAAATGTATATAAATTGAATGATTAAATATATTTAAGACAAAATTAGTATTTTATATAAAATTTTAAATAATCTGTCGATTGAAGAAAGAATAATGTTAAGAATGAAAGCATTAGTTTCGGATGTGCAAAAATGTCGAATTGAAATTAAACATTTTTTAGAATGTAAAGAATGAGAACAAGCTAAGTTAATATGGATTTGTATGTATGATTGTAATTGAACTAATTTGAAAAATTCATATTCTATTATTTTGAGCCAACTGAAAAATAACATCTTGTATATAATTTCAAGATCTAAGATCATAAGTCATCTTTTACATAGAGTGAATTTGATATATGCATTGATCACATTCCTAATTATTGCCAGCTACCATGGTTGGATAACATCTTGCGAAACTATGTAATAAGTTCACCACGATTGTCTAAGCATGTCCAAAATCTACTAGGAAATCTTGTTCATCAGTATAGATCATATAATTTCACGTATATCTTTACCTTATATTTGTGTGTTTTCTCAGAAATATACTGTTTGAACAAAAGTCTATCTTACTATTATACTATTGTTTTCTTGATTATAATAACTGCATCAGAAATCTATACACAGAGGAAAATCTAGCTTTTAATAAATCCAAGACTATCTTCAACTTGAGTAGCTTATTTTGATTTGGATGATACTTACGTTTGTCTGAAAGATATCAGAACTTGAGAAGTAATTCAAATCTATCCTCCGACATTGCGCACTTCGGATGATCTCGGATTCATACAACTGGTTGTTGCTCCAGCAGTATTCTAGTTTTGCTATTTATACTAATTCCATCTCGATAATGATTCTAAGAAGCTGCAGCATCTCAACATTAGTAAGTGATTTCTATTGATCGTCTGTTAATCTCATGTATGCTCAAATATTGCTTCACGTCCTCTATAATGATAATACCAAGATCCTTTCAATCTTATATACAATCGTGATATTCAGATGCCTTAAGTCCTATACAATGAAGTTATCCAAGATCATCGATGTCCCAGTTACCTATTTTAGCTTTGATCCTTTTTCTAAAGTAAACGGTCAAAAATACACTACTTTAACTTCAAGCCTCAAAGTTTAAACTAACCTTTTAAGTTCATTTATTCCATTAAAACATTTTTAAAGTTAAAGTGCCATACTTAATGGTAATCCTATTAGATGAGATAGACGTAATTAAGAAATATGTTTGATGTTTTTCATCAACAAATTAATGCCAATGAAATATTTTCAGTTAAATACAAACCACTTACCACCTAAATATGTTTCAATTATAAAAATACCTTATATTACCTTGATAGGTGGAAGTAGTATAAGCACATAATATGACACCCCTATTGTCAACTTGTTGTACTTCTACCACTATATTACATAAATTTATCTAGTAACTATTACTTAATATATCTCTTAATGTATAACTCAATCCTCAAAGATGTGTTTATTTAGTTTACTAACAGCATGCTCTCTATCATTATTCTCTTCTATAAAAAAATAACTTTTTAATAATTAAGAAAATCATCGGAAATTTTTAGCCATCATCAAACATAAATATTTAGCCTTTCAACATGTGTCTTTTACTTTATTCTTCACATCATACAAAAAAAATAATTACTATAGTTAGTTCTATTTCTTCTCACAAATAAAATGAGTCATATATATTTTGTGAAATATTTATTGATCTATATACTTTTTTCTGGAATCAGATTCATCTTCTTTGTTAGTTAAGAATCATCTATGTCCAAAGATCAAAATAACAAAAATTAATATTGCTTCATTTTTCTTCTGAAGCATTTTCTTCTGTTAAAATCCAAAAAGAACTGACTAGAACAAGATATACAAACACATGTCATTGTAGCAAAAAGAAAAACTGATCACACACACGACACAACAAAACTGAATAAAGGTAATATGGATAAAAAACAGGCACACTCAAACAAAGCAAAAAAAAAGATAAAGAAAATTAAACATGGCTGTAAAACAAAGCACACACAAAATGTAATAAAGACGAGTATTGCAAAAGAAAAAACATTGACTTTTGATTTTTTTTTAAAGAAACAAAAAAAAAACAGACGAACTATTTTCGATATTGGCAAATATTGTTATATTCGTTTCAAGAGTTAAACATCACAGCTTTTTCTGGCACAAAATGAATTTTAAAAGAAAAACAAATGAGATAAGATTTTTGACTGACTGACTGACTAGGCAATAGGATTATTATTCTCTTTAAGTCGTAATTCAGCAGCTATACGACGATCATGTTCCTTGAGATAAAGTGTTCGATAAGTATCTCGTTCTTCTAGAAAAAAAAAGAGAAAAAATATTTTTTTTAAATTGATTTTTAAAATAAATAAGTACTTACGTGCAATCGATACGAGTAAATGTTGAAGTTTTTCTTGAAAATAAGTCATAGTATTAAAAGAACTATCAAAATGTTGAACAAATGCTAAAAAAAGAAAATAAGATTTCTTTCTATTAAAAAAAGAAAAATATATACTTTCAATTGATTGTGTACTCATTTCCAGACTTGTTTTCGGTTCTTTAGCTACTGAATCAACTACTGCTGCTGTTGTCGTTGATGATGATGCTGATGGTGATGATGATAAACCATTATAATGATAATGATGACCATTGGGTCGACTTATAACTGAATTTAATAAACGATTAAGTGTACCAGGAAGTCTTTTTGATGATGGTATTGGTACACTAGTAACAGTCATTTTATTTGATAATGATTGTACGGATGGTGATGATGGTGATGTACAATTAAAATCATTCTCTTGTTCAACTTTAATAACAATTGGTGTTGTTGTTGATACATCATCAGTACCATTTATTATTTGTTGTGGTGATAATGAATTACTTCGATTCACTGTTTGATCACTATTTGGACTTTGTTGATTATCACTATGATTTGTCATTTGATGATTTGTATTCATATCATCATCATCTGATAAGACATCAGTTGTACTATTTCCACCCATATAACATTGTGAACTTTCTGAAGAAGAAAAAAAACAAAATTTAAGAACAATTATGATTGGATTTTTTGAATTTATTTAACTAACCACTAGCATTATCATCAACAGAATCAAAACGAAATTGTGCAGATGTTGAATCAGCTTGTTTATCACTGAAAAGACAAAAGAAGAAAGCAGATGAATTTATATTTAATATAACTATTATTATTACCTATCTAGTTGAATATTATATTTTTTAATAAAATTCGAACACCATGAACGTGATGCAGCAAAATCTGGATTACCAGTTAATTCTCTCATAGTTGCTAATGCATAGGAATGAAAATCACGATTATTTACACGTTCACCATTTTCTTGTCGTGTTTGTATCCATTCGAGTATACGTGAATGAGCTTCTTTATTTCTTATAGCTGATGTTCGTTCACCATTCGGTTTTTGATATAACCATGAAGCAATTGTTGATGGTGCAACTTGAAATAATTTTGATGCTGCTTTAACACCATGTTTTTCAGCATATTCATGTATTCGTACTTTTTGTTCAGGTGAAACAAGTTTATATGATCCACGTATACGTTTTTGTGCTGGACGATCAATTTTACGTTTACGTTTATTATTATTATTTTGATAATCAAGTTGATTGGTTGGTGGTGATGATGATGATGATTGAACTGTTGATAATCCTGATGACGATGTGAACAATTGATGTTGAACAGCAGCAGCAACAGCAAATGCATCGAATTTATTTATTGATTTAGATGAATCATTTGAATGTCCACGAATTTTTAATGTCGGAGATGTTGCTGTTGATGATGAATCACTTGGATCAAGTTGTGGTAAAACAGCCATAAAATCCTATTAATATTTTTTCATTCAAAATCAATAGATTATATTGTAAAGAAAAATATTTTTTTCAACTTACAGCGATCATACTTTCATCAGCTGTATAATCGATAGGTTCAATTTTTTGATGATTTGAAGTCTTTGCTACCGAACCTAATGATGTTGGTGCATGTGAATTCGTCGCTTTCGTCGACGATGAATGATCACTCATCGAAATAGAATATGGCTAAAAAAAAGAGACAAATAATCTTCGTTATTTCACATATTATCCGAAACATATAAAATTATTCGTATAAAAAAAAGACACTGAAATATTTGTCTTTTCCTATTGTTATCATTACCTGCTTTCGTTACTAAGTCTTCTTTATCCAACAAAAAAAAAAGTTTGACAGAATAAGTTCAGTCGACTACTACTACTACTTCTACCTTTTTTTTTTACTCTGAAATGAATGACAGAAAAAAATATGTGTGTGTGTGAAAGGAAAGGAGACAGAGAAAAAAGAGAATGAGACGAACTTTCTTTTTTTTTTCTGTTTGCTACCGAAGTGCTCAATTCGACTTCTTTCATATATATATATATA